TCATTATTTGCCTCACGAACAGTACGAAAATACACCTGACGGTGGCCTGTACTGCTACTGAAGAAGAAGAAGAACGCGTACCATCGTATGCTAAGAACACAAATATAAAAACATAGCATTAAAGATACGTTCTCCAAAACGATTTTTGTTTTGGAACTATCTTCATGCAACGTTTCTACAAGTTGGGGTTTCCTCACACAGCATGGAAATAGACAACTAGTACATTTTCTTCTTGAATATCGAAACAACACCCTCTACTTTTTTCTGAAATTGTTCCATAATTTTGTCTAGAAAAGTTATGGACAACCCAGAAGATTCATATGTTAACAAAAAAGAATCACTAATAATCTAGATTCGTTGTCAACACAACAACCTTTTGATTATGAAAGTATAATGTGTACTGTCTCGAGTTCACGTAAACTTTAATTGACCTCTCTCACTTAGTTGCTTGTTTTCCATTTCTTCACAATTTTTCCTTGATTAGCTTTGATCCGACAATCGCCAATGAAAATTATTTGGACAGCTTAGTACCCCAGCCAGAACTGGGGAAGAAAAAGGGTGTGAAAATGTCACTTAGAGTACATTTAAATGCATCCCAAATGGTAAGAGTAAGTAAATCTAATTTCCTCAAACAACCTTAGTCCTGTCGATCTGTCAAACGAATTTTTGGTGAATTTCTTGACTCCTAAAGATGTTCCCTTACATAAATGCAGTCCGTAACACGACCTACATATAACCAAGAAGTGATATAACCAGGGCTCACCTCCCTGATATAACGTAGCATTTTGAAAGCACCGGACTGCCGGTGATAGAGCGGCCTCTGTACCCCCCCCCCCCCCCAGCCCCCTCGATTCGAATGACAAAAACCGAGAGACTAAAGAGGGTTATAGAGTAAAAATAGGCGAGTGATCATGGAACGAGAAATATGTTGAGTGCTACTTGACTAGATCTGTTACATTTTAGTCATCTTTTTCTAAACGCTAATCTACTTTCTTTTCTATTACGTCCCTTTCCCCAAAAACATGTATATCTTAATTATATGTACAAACTGATTCTTCCTTTCTAGATAATATATATTCATGAATCCAAGATCTATCCAGCGTGCGCTACCACCCGTCATGAATTATGTAATTACGATAGTAACCTTATGATAGACCCTAAGAAAAAAAACGTATACAACGGTAGACTGAAACCAGACAATCAAATAATAATTACAAGCAGTCCGGAAATTCATACTTTTTATCGAGATAATCTCGAAACCGAAAACACATTTTTCGGCTGTTTGTTGCTAACTTCCATCCATACATTATAACCGCATCCTTCAAAATGTTTTGACATGACAAAGCACAATACATATGTTGCATTATAAAATATACCTGATTAATTAGTGAGCAGTCTGGATTGATTTAACCATGGACCTACTAAATTCGACCGCCTGTGCGTCATTATTCATGACTTCCTTCGCTGTTGAGAATTCATTGTTTCAAATTACGTAAAGTACACGTTGTATATAAACACGTTCTTTTCCTTCGACGTATGCGTGTGTGGCTACTTCTAGTTCGTCCCACGTGGAGAAGAAATTACCCAAAAGATAAATCACCTCTTCCCGTGTCTGATCGCTCTCTAGAGAGAACTAGAAGATTGAGTTTAAAAGAGCGCGAAAATCTAGACTGCGTCTAGTTTTGGGCCAAGAAGGAAAAAGGTTTGTGACATACAGGTACATAGACATTCCATCCTTGCACCTCTGAGCTAACCCACGTGACTTGACTTTCGAATACACGCTATGCGCACTTCGTTTCGACAATTAAGGGTGATTGAAGATGCCACGTCACCAATCATAACGATCACGGCTGACTTTTGAGATCTCAGTTCTGAGATCTCAAGTGAGACACACGTAAGAATGATCAGATTGAAGTGACAATGGTATTAACAAAGTTAACCGTACACGATGCACTTCAAGACTTTATAATGCCAATGTTTGGAGGAGGTGAATTAAATTCACCTCTCAACTTTGAGCTCTGATGTCATCACTTGGGGAAAATCGGAAATCGGTTTCGCGGGGAAATATGTTCAGTATATCGTGATTTAAAAACCTGAGCGAGCAGGCTATGCCCTGTCGCGTCGAAATCCAAATGTTGCCTACCCGACTAACGGTAGTCTATTTCTCGAAACTATATAGAAATATTGGCATATTATCAGTACAACTTTCAGCGGCCGCCCGTCTCGTCTCCTTAAAGGACTTTGTAACATTGTTCAGATGAGAGATAGTGGTGCTAAGGTAGTGACTTAAATGCTAGATGTACAATTAAAGATAATCTGAAAATTTGAGTGAAAACGGATCATTATTCATGGTACAAATTGGGAAAAACTGATCTGATTGATTCCTTAATTCTCCCAACTATATTATTCTACTTCTATTCTGCTACTTGTCAAAGCCTGTTCAGCATCAAGACAAGGACTGTTTTATGTATTTTTGTCAGGAAAAACGGTTGGGAAAATTCAAAAATGGTTGGGAGAATTTACTGTTAATCACTGTTAGAGGGTGCCTCACAATGACGCCTTCAAAGAAAACCATAGATATCTTTGTGGTTTTAGAATTTGTTCAGGAATTTTTGCATGTCAGAGGGTTAGTAAAGTAGAAGTAATATAGTAAGTAACATTTTATACAAAAATTAAGCAATTTTTGTCATCAACCTTCAACAATGTTACCGAGTCACTTTAACGGTTTTGATAGTCAAAGTCTGCATGGGAAGATGCAGATATAAAAAACCTGCATATTAAAGGGATCCGGTAACCCCATGACTTTTACAAGCCGAACGCCTGTCTTATTATCAAGATATTTATGATTGGAATTACAAATTTTGAAAACCGTTCGCCTGACGGTTTTCATAACACTACAGTCTATTAGGGAAAACGAGTATGGTAAAACCGGTCACTCAAAGATTTTTACTTTTTTGAGGCACTTCTTGATCATTTTGAAGCGCGATTTTTTTTAGGGCTTCAATTTTACACCATATCACAGACACTAATAACACGTAGGGCCGTGTATCTCAGATTTAACAATGTTAAACGATCCCTTTAAAATAGGTCGCTACTTGACATACGTAATGCAACTCTCAACAAGCCTTTACATTATTTTTAAATACATCATCTCCACGAAGTAACTGTTAGGCTCTGAATGATCTCTTTTATACTATTTAGTGCATTCTCCTTATAATAATTGTGCAAATTCCGTGATTTAATGTTTCCTTCCACAGCATAGGGGAATAAATTCTATAATTGGAATTGCAAAAAATTCCTCTCAGGCAGATACCTAAACAGTGATTATTCTATAGTATTACAAACAAAAAAGTTTCAAGGCATCTCTTATTTGTTGCTGCGTATAATATGTACATTGAAAATCTTAAAACAACATGAAGGATGAAGGATCTTCGGGGAGGGGTAGGGGTTGACGGGATGTCAAGGAAATCAAGATGGGGCTTCCGAACAGATGCATTTATTTGCCCTTTTGTTACCCCTAAAACATGAACATTTACTCAAACATCAGCACATTTTTCTACCGTTTTCAATGTCACTATTAACATAGCGATATACCCTTGAGTACAATTTTCCTCTAATAAAGCCAGGTAGAATACTGTTTCTGTATTTTCCAACAAGGTCGGACCTCCAGTTAGTTGTTTACAGAGGATGCAGTAGAGGAGCTACTAAACTATTCCGTACAACATCGTGGATATTTAAACGACGTAATATGTCAGGAAATGGTTATTGCATGTTACGCAATAAAATACAGAAATTGGTCTCCTACCCGGAAGTATGAAGGTCTTATTTGTGCCAGTGCATTTCACGAAATTTCATGACCTCTGGACAGGGTAGTCCAAAATATAAATAGAGGAAAAAAGAAGAACAAAGATAGAGACAAAGATACTATCTTCATCTTTCCCTCTCTTTTTCTATCTCTTCATCTCTCTCTCTCTCTCCCGCTCTCTCTTTCTCTATCTTCATAGTTCCCTCTTCCTTTCTACATTGTATATCTTTCTCTTTCTCTCTCCACCTTCTCTACGACTCCCACCTTTTCTCTCTCCCTTCTTGATTCTCTCTCTCTCTCTCTCCCTCTCTCAATCTGATCATCCATTATTAATCTGTGTGCCTTTATATCATCTGATAATTCGAGCTATTTCGGTTTAAATGTAAACAAATATTTGTTGAAAATCTTATACTACACATTTTATATGCAGTTATTATTTTGTGTAATGCTTTTAACAATGTTTGTAAGTCAAAGAATTGTTTAAAAAATAGTGCTATTCAGCCTTTGGGCTGCAATGTTATATTGTGAATAAATAAACCATTATTTATAAGGGTGAAGTAGGGCATAGAGTAAGAGAGAGAGAGAAGGGTGGGTATGGGGTGCAATTTCATCCCCATTTACTGGGCTTGGGCTTGGTGACCTGGACCATATGTATAAAGTCGGAGAAATGTGTCTTAGGAAGATCGAGTGTGCTAAGATTTACGAACCTGTGAGAATTGCCATAAGATCGCGCCAGCTCGCCACAACTCGAGGCTCCAACTCGGCTAAGTGGGAGCCCTGCTTTAGAAGATTAATGCTCTCCTTTTCTCTCAATCTCTTAACCTTTTCTGATATTTACTGAGCGGACATCTTTCAAAAGAAACCCTCCAATCTAGCGACATGCCAGAAAAACTCAACTTTCTTTTAATCACATGAAAAGACGATGTGAAAGTTTCATTATAATTATCTAAAGATGACTGCCCCCGTTGGCATATATTTATCCTTTAAATTTAATGTATCAAATCATTATTACAACAAGATTTGATTAGCGATTTGATTTACAATTTGAAATACAGTTTTATATGAATGACATGGTTGGTTACACAATAGATGAACCTTGACAAGAGTGAGATCTCCGGTACTTATCACGTGTATAATTATATCTAGTTTCTATCTTTAAGTCCAAATGAAGGAAGAAGTATAACATTAATTTTACCTGCTTTTTGCCATGTTTTATCACAATTGAGATTGATTCCGACGCTTTGAGGTAGATTATCTTCTCTCCGGCTTCAAGATAAGCAAACATCCGTCGTATTATTTCCATGTGACATGTAGATATCCAACTTTCATTATTACTTTTCCGATTCCATCAACGTCGTGTATCAAAAGATGATTTGATTTTTGCGATGCGACTGCTTTCAATAGATTCTTCCAGTTGTATTGGTAGCCCTTGTTTCACACATCACAATCTACTGTTCTTATTCTCCAAAGAACAGTTTATGCCTCAAAGTCAAAGTGACTTTTGAGTTCAGTAAGGGTGATACATGCGGAACACTGTAACCAATAACTTCCCGTAATTATACCCGCTTGATCAGCCATGCAGACAGGCGTTTAAAGACGACCAGGCCAGCGTGTGCATGACGGTGAAAGAAGAACAAGAGGGAACGTTAACACTGCATCCATAGGCGCGTAGTTTGTCCAAGGAGATACCTGGTCCAGCACTTTTGTCTTGATTTGGTGCAATGCGCGGCTCACATGACTATCTTCAGATGCAATAACGCTATCATAATCAGCGGATAGCATCACAGACGGCTCTCATGAAGTGATTCACCGTCCGTGTATATAAGGAAGAGAGAACGAGCTGCTAATAGACAACGTATTAGTAACTCGTTATAGGATTAGAAGCCTAACTGGAAGCATGATGTAACACACAGGCACGTGGCACTGATTATGTTGTTTACAGACTGACCTACAAGCGAAACCCCTGATTATTCGTGGTCTTACCAGGGAGAGTATTCCCTGGTCTTACTTACCCTAGGATCGAGACCAACAGTTGTCCCAACTCCGAAGGCAAACGGCGCTTTAAAAAATGAAAGGGTCCGTGGACTTCCTTATTCGTCTCATATAAATGTGTATGTGGTTAGATCATAGACCTAGGTCAATGGGTAGATTAAGCGCGAACAAATGTTGTACATCAAGGTATTATACTAAAAGAAAAATCAAACTGAAGACCGCTAAATAAATCTTGAGATACACTTTCTGAACGAAGCAACTCCTGGGTTTTCCAAATGTGTCCAAAATGTAATTGTATGTAAGCAATGTTAACGAGGGGTAAGATACCAATGGCGGTTGAGCGGGGGGGGGGGGTGGAATCATTCCTTCACCGGGTCTATTTAATGCTGGATACGCCAGTAGATTGCCGAATCATATCAAACATAATTAGTTAAATTCGCATGATTTATTTACAAGGATCATATAACGAACATTTCCTTGAATCAACAGAATAACCTAAATTCAACGAGCCGAACTACCTCCATGGATAAAGACGGTTAGAAAGTCGAAATGCCATGCATCTTTTGTTTTCGCGCCACTCCGAATAAAACGTCATATTTCGAATTACTGCGCGTGCCACTGGAGAAGGCCAAGTTGTATGGTATGCCCTTGACATGACGTTGAACTTAATGTAGTGGTGATTCACTCAAATCAACTCGCATTCAGATTAGTATCACATCTACTTCAAGGTCGGTGGTCCTCTAGGTCCACATTGGTACGTGGTGTATCGTAAAACCAGTCCAAAGAGTCCATGTGATCGTACGCATGTATGCTCTTGGTCAGACTTCATATAAAATACACATGCAGACATAAGGACTACTCTAACATGTGTAATCAATATTTCTTTATTTTCTAAAACTTTCCCCCTTCTTCTTCTTCTACTTCTTACGTCAATACGAGGTTCACGTCTCATGAAGATAGTCAGCACACTTTTTTATAATATTTTCTCATTTGTAACATTACTCCAAATCAGGTATTCTTAGGCCAAGTAATAGGGACTTTTAGATTTGCACAACAACAACGTGGATTGCTACGGTCGACGTCCTTTTAATGCACTGCCTTGAATAGACGTCACACGTATCAGTCCACGCAAATCTAAAAGTCCCTAATGTCTATAATTCATCAGGTACAATAAGCCAGTTTATAAATATTATCTGCGCATGGGCAGATAAAGGTCATTTGTTCCCAAATTGTAAAACCCACCGAGACGAATACTGGTACCGTGCTCATGGAAGTAATGTAATCAGTATTCATTTATTCACCGACAGTACATTTATCTGATACACAGGTGGAAGTATTCTTTTCAAGAGGCAAACAAAAGGTATTCATGAAGCACCTCCATCACTTCGACAGTGATTATTCTAAAATGCACAAGTGGCACATATCAATAATGTAAAAGATCTGTCGATATTTTTGGGTCATGCGTTCCGAAGCTATTTACGAACACGCTTTTGCCTTTGACTTGACGGTTCCTCTTAAATTGTCATCCCACCAAAATAATCTTTGTTAACGATTCATTCAAACAGGATTAGAATGTCATATATCTTGATTACTAACGTCAACATTCTTAACTACAGTAATGCATCTCCATTGACAAAAACCCGTACTCACATATGTGTTCCACAATTCTACATAGTTATTCTACGAGATGGTATCCGGGTATCGACCCATGAGGTACCTGAACGCATGATCTTTCTTGGTTTGCTCCGACTTTACTCCAATTAACCTCCAGACGGTGAGAAATCCATTGAATCCAATTTGTACAAGATCAGAGAACACTTGTAGCCGCAGTCTTCATAGCCCGGGAAAACCGTTCAACGAATACTCAGGTGCCGACCACGTGGGTATGTCCTCCACTTAACAAAACGAATCCAACAGTTTTCTTCTTTATTCAGCACAGATCTGACATGTTTGGTAAATGATCTTCTAGCTTTAGGCTTCAATAACTGGGAAATTATCCCAAACCTTGTATTTATTTTATCGTATAAAGAAAGTTTTTTTTCCCCCGGTGTGCTCCAAATATGAAATCACAAAAAGTCATGGCATGCTCCCTTATCTGAATTCCTTATGGCATTTAGGGATAAGCAAAAGTGTCTCCCCATCTGGGCAACATATTCATAATCATACTTCGTTGTGCCTTTGAGCGAGGGGTCAGAATTGTTCAGATATCTCTTGGCAAACACTTTGGACGGATTCCTTTGATGATCATGTTTGAGAGAGCGAAAAGGAGTTCACGATATCCCTTTTCTCCCCTTGGGAAAGTTGAGAGAGTACATCTTCAACTAATCGATAGAACTTTACTTTTAGACAAATAAATATAAAAACACGTGTCGTACCACTGACTCAATATAATGCTTAAACACATAATACCATTAGAGTATTTTGGTCCTAATTAGAATACAAAATATGGTAATAAAATGGCCTGGGTTGCAAGTTATTCAGATCATCGCTTTTTTTTTTTTTTTTTTGCATTAACCAACCCTGTCTGAAGCTGCAATTGTGATTGCCATGAAGAGGGACATTGAGACCGTAGGCGAGATGAAATGGAAACAAGGGCAAAGATAGGACAAGAGACATCCATAACGACCGGTAGGACAGAATGCTGTTAAAGTGACTCGGTAACATCGTTGAAGGTTTATGAAAAAAATTGCTTAATTTTGGTATAAAATGTTACTTACTATATTCCTTCTACTATACTAACCCTCTGACATGCAAAAAATCCTGAACAAATTCTAAAACCTCAAAGATATCTACGGTTTTCTTTGAAGGCGTCGATGTGAGGCACCCTCTAACAGTGATTAACAGTAAATTCTCCCAAACCATTTTTGAATTTTCCCAACCGTTTTTCCATGAGAAAAATATATAAAACAGGCTATAAAAATCTGTCGACACTCAACTGTCTGGAATGGAATATAGAGCCATTTTATTGCTTTGTGACGATTTACATTCACCTAAAATGTAGTTAAATTGTCCTTGTCTTGATGCTGAACAGGCTTTGGCAAGTAGCAGAATAGAAGTAGAAAAATATAGTTGGGAGAATTAAGGAATCGATCAGATCAGTTTTTCCCAATTTGTACCATGAATAATGATCCGTTTTCACTCAAATTTTCAGATTATCTTTAATTGTACATCTAACATTGAAGTCACTACCTTAGCACCACTATCTCTCATCTGAACAATGTTACAAATTCCCTTTAAGAATCGAGGAACAGTTTGGATGGAATTATTGTAAAACAGCAAAGTGGTTCGTATCTTCTTCTTTACCCAACATACACGATTATGGTACAGCCCTCGACCCGAAAATGAAGGCTGTTATTAGAGGAGGAGGTGAAAAGACGAGTATCAAATTGAGATATACCCTGGAAAGGGCTACAAAAGGCGGGGCGCTATCCTCTTAAAACGAGCGAATTATATGTGCCAGTGATCTTTGGCATTCGTTCCGTCTGGCATCAAGGGACACTTGGACTCGGTTGACACCCTCTCGGCGTCCTCGCAGTGGCATCCAACGAAATGCTCACAGAAAGTCGCCACTTTCATTTGGAATCCCCGTATCTGTAGGGAATGCATGCAGGGCTGTGAAGGGTGGTGCATTTTAAAGGTGTGACACCTGTTTGAGAGGAATCCATGAGAGTAGAAGCCAAACTTTTTAACAATTTACGCTTGAATTCACGACCGACATGTGACGTCACGTTTCTCACCATGTATGTATCGTCAGTATATGCGAGGGTTTGCAGGTATAATAATAGTCAATTGTAAATTAAAGCTTAAAGTTTTCATATTAGATTGTTTACTTCTCCAGGCAATTTTCATTTACTTTTTATTTTGTATGTCGTCTTATTACTTCTCGGAAAATATATATTATTATTAATATTATTATCTGTACTTCTGTAATACAATGAGCAGTGCACGTTATACATTTAAAACATATACAAATCTTGCACTATAATATGGAAGATATCGGTGTTATTATTCTCTTTAACGTTCGATTCACAAGTTTTCCTTTATGTCGGTGTACTTTTGACACTTTTTTGACCTTTAAATTTTGCCGGGGATCTTGAAAACATTGTTAAGAAAATAGTTCATAATGGAGCCTATATTCAGGATGGGATATTGTATCCGAAATAGTCTGCAGATCACAGCATGTCATAACAGGTTAACCCACGTAAATGATTTCGAGATGTAATAGTGTCCTTGAATGTATGACGATGAAATAACATGAGTAAGTCTCGAGATATTTGACCGAGGTAGTAAGACTACGCATTGATCAAAAACATGCAGAAGTAGACAAATCCATTAAAAAAAGACTTGTTGTTGTTGTTTCCGTTAGCCTATTATTACTTTCGAAACGTTATTTTCCCAATTTAATATATACATTATAGATTTACAAATACGAAAAACACAGAACACATGATCAATGACTGCTTTACCTGACTGCTATAAAGAAAGCACGTATATGTTTGTAAGTAAACAAACAGGGGACAGACGCCATAAGACATGGGTAAAAGAGAGAAGTAAAACTTTCAGATAAAACTTTTACATGCACATGTATAAATGTAATGCGACGTAGTACTAGTAGGCTCAAGACATGTTATTCATGACAAATTCCTTTAATACTGATAATATCTTACGATTTCCATTTCATTAAATATGGATACGTTTCAAAGTTTCCAATTGTAAATATCAAAATGCCCGATCACCTGCTTTCCCATACATTTTCATGGTTATAGGACTCCATGACGTCACTTCTTCTCACTTTAGTCTACTGACGATGCTAATATTAAGTTAAGGCGCAATTTTATAAACGATGCCTAGCTACAGTGCTTGCTACGG